TCATTGCACACCAACTGAAATATTTCAGGTCTTTAATTGTTTTAATAGTGATGATTATGGCATACAGCTCATGAAAACCCAAAATGCCTGTCCCAAAAAATTAGCATATTTCATCCCACCAATGAAAGACAAGTGTTTTTAATACAAAAAACACCAACCTTCAAATAATCATGTTCAGTTATGCACTCAATACTTGGTCGGGAATCCTTTTGCATGAATGACTGCTTCAATGCGGCGTGGCATGGAGGCAATCAGCCTGTGGCACTGCTGAGGTGTTATGGAGGCTCAGGATGCTTCGATAGCGGCCTTAAGCTCATCCAGATTGTTGGGTCTTGTGTCTCAACTTTCTCTTCACAATATCCCACAGGTTCTCTATGGGGTTTAGGTCAGGAGAGTTGGCAGGCCGATTGAGCACAGTAATACCATGGTCAGTAAACCATTTACCAGTGGTTTTGGCACTGTGAGCAGGTGCCAGGTCGTGCTGAAAAATGAAATCTTCATCTCCATAAAGCTTTTCAGCAGTTGGAAGCATGGAGTGCTCCAAAATCTCCTGATAGCTAGCTGCATTGACCCTGCCCTTGATAAAACACAGTGGACCAACACCAGCAGCTGACATGGCACCCCAGACCATCACTGACTGTGGGTGCTTCACACTGGACTTCTGGCATTTTGGCATTTCCTTCTCCCCAGTCTTCCTCCAGACTCTGGCACCTTGATTTCCGAATGACATGCAAAATTTGCTTTCATCCGAAAAAAGTACTTTGGACCACTGAGCAACAGTCCAGTGCTGCTTCTCTGTAGCCCAGGTCAGGCGCTTCTGCCGCTGTTTCTGGTTCAAAAGTGGCTTGACCTGGGGAATGCGGCACCTGTAGCCCATTTCCTGCACACGCCTGTGCACGGTGGCTCTGGATGTTTCTACTCCAGACTCAGTCCACTGCTTCCGCAGGTCCCCCAAGGTCTGGAATCGGCCCTTCTCCACAATCCTCCTCAGGGTCCGGTCACCTCTTCTTATTGTGCAGTGTTTTCTGCCACACTTTTCCCTTCCCACAGACTTCCCACTGAGGTGCCTTGATACAGCACTCTGGGAACAGCCAATTCGTTCAGCAATTTCTTTCAGTGTCTTACCCTCTTGATTGAGGGTGTCAATGATGGCCTTCTGGACAGCAGTCAGGTCGGCAGTCTTACCCATGATTGCGGTTTTGAGTAATGAACAAGGCTGGGAGTTTTTAAAAGCCTCAGGAATCTTTTGCAGGTGTTTAGAGTTACGTCGTTGATTCAGATGGTTAGGTTAATAGCTTGTTTAGAGAACCTTTTCATGATATGCTAATTTTTTGGGACAGGCATTTTGGGTTTTCATGAGCTGTATGCCATAATCATCAGTATTAAAACAATTAAAGACCTGAAATATTTCAGTTGGTGTGCAATGAATCTGAAATATATGAAAGTTTCATTTTTATCATTACATTATGGAAAATAATGACCTTTATCACAATATGCTAATTTTTTGAGAAGTACCTGTACAGCAAAGCAACATATTTATGGATTTTTTCACTTTTTTAAACATATTTGGACTTATGCCATCTATAGGGCTTTGCGACATGTGTGGCGGAAAATATGGTAAACTGTATTCTAGGGATGCACGATATTGGATTTTTGGACGATGCCGAAATGTTAAAATTTAGCCAATAACCGATGCCTATAACTCCTGGTGACATATATTCAGTCACAGCCATATGGTATGCATAGTACTTTTAACATATATTAAATTAAAAGAGTTAAATGTTATTTATTAGCATTAGTCACCTGCGATGTTGTCTCACTTGTGGAGGCTTGTTCCAGGTTCCTAGCTGCAGTGTGGAATTCTCTTCACTCTTGTGCATGAAGGACAGCCTTTTAAAGTTCAAAGTTTTTGTCTATCCATTGAGCCGTAAGACTAATCATGCTAACGGGGCTAACACAACGTCCAAATGTCTGTGGTAAAACTCACCCAAGAAGTGGTGCTATTAGCTTCTCAATGAGGTCAGAAACAACGGCTTGTAACTCGGGTAAGGTTACACTGGAAAAATATCTCTGACTGGAGACGATGTAGCGAGGCTCAACGTAGTTCATAAATCTTGGCAATCCAACATCCTCACCAATGAAAAATAAAACTTCTGCAACGCCGGCATTTTGAATTTTTCTTTCCGCCGAGAGATCAGGTAGGCACATGTGATGTCACCTCCTTGTGCCCCTTCTGAAACGTCATCTCGTAGCGCTGCAACGTCATCTCGTAGCGCTGCAACGTCATCACGTTGCGCTGCAACGTCATCTCTTAAGCTGCAACATCATGACGTTGTGCTGCAACGTCATCACGTTGTGCTGCAACGTCATCTCGTTGATCTGCAACGTCATCTCGTTGTGTTACAACTAGGGCATTAACAGAGTACTCAAGTAATCTACACATCGATTGCTAGGACATCTATCGAGGTTAAAAATGTTATGTTGAGTATCCGTAGTGACGTCATATTATGTGACCACCGTATGACCGTAGGGGGCGGTGTTGCACTGTTGCAGGTCACAGAGTATGGTGTATCACCGGGTCCAATCCACCGAACCAGAACCAGTTTCGGTTTATGTTTCATTTGACGGAGTCCTGTTTGGGTTTCTTCTCTGCTTTTAGGAAGGCCCAGTTAGGACATCACCCTTTGGAGCACAAGTTAGGAGTCATCAGGACTCTGTACCACAGAGCAGACAGCGTCCCCACTAGCTCAGGAGCCAGGCAGAAGGAGAAATCCCACACAAGACAGGCTCTAGAGCAATGTGAATATCCTAACTGGGCCTTCCTAAAAGCAGAGAAGAAACCCAAACAGGACTCCAGTCAGCCAACAGGTGAAAATAAGGAACCCAGACACAGACCAGTGGTCATTCCATATGTTGAGGGAGTATCAGAGAAACTGAGACGTTTATTTTCTAAACATAACGTCCCAGTGGCTTTGAAACCCCAAAATACATTACGGCAAAGACTGGTTCATCCCAAAGATCCAGTCCCCCGGCACAAACAGAGTAATGTTGTGTATGCTGTTCAGTGTCAGGAGGGCTGTGATCAGTCTTACATCGGGGAAACAAAACAGCCACTGGCCAAAAGGATGGCCCAGCACAGAAGATCAACATCATCAGGCCAGGATTCTGCGGTCTACACTCATCTCCAGGCCAGCGGTCACTCTTTCAGGGATGAAGAAGTTCACATTCTGGTTAGAGAGGAACGATAGCTTGAGAGAGGAGTAAAGGAGGCTATCTTTGTGAAAAGAAACCGTCCATCGTTAAACAGGGGTGGAGGCCTCCGTGTTCAATTGTCCCCCTCTTACAATGCTGTGATTGCTAGTATCACTCAACCCTCTGTGAATAGTAAACAGCCATCAGTGTGCTAATGATCCATTGTTAGGCTGATGGTCCTTCTTGAGCATGTGATCAGCTGGTTTTGGATGTCAGCAGCAAAACTGGTTGATCCACTCTGAGAAGGTGCTATTTAAGAGACTGAGTTGAATACAGCAGCTCAGACTGAGGAAGTCTCTCGGATGAGAGACGAAAATTTTCTACATTTTTTTGTTGTTTTGCTTTGCTTTGTTTTATTGAATGTCCAGAGGACCAGATTTAACTTTTTTAGATTTTTCTACCTGGATTATTGAGCATGCATCAGGTCATCTCATTAAGCTGCAACGTCATCTCGTTGAGCTGCAACGCCATCTCATTGAGCTGCAAGGTCATCTCATTGAGCTGCAGCGTCATCTCATTAAGCTGCAAGGTCATCTCGTTGAGCTGCAACGCCATCTCATTAAGCTGCAACGTCAACTCATTAAGCTGCAACGTCATCTCGTTGAGCTGCAACGTCATCTCATTAAGCTGCAACGTCA